CTCTTTAAGTGCATAATAGGAGGTCTCTTAATAACTGGTAAACTCAAAAATTTACTTTATTCTAAGTCTCATCAAATTTTGGAATGTTGCAATTTATGAGCAAGCACCCCATTGCCTTCAGACAGGCACATTTCCCAGTTGCTAAAAATGGAATTTCAAATCTCAACAAATTGTTTCACCCGCAAGACAACAAATCTAGTCCAAGTATTACATGTGTGTTAAGGGTGGGCAGAAGTAGGGAAAGCCTAGAAAAAGTGCACAAAACAGTCCTTTTTATTTAACCTGCTAGAGTCTTTATAACTGTGACTATAAATTCCTGTACCTGTGGGTGTAAATGCCAAGCATATAAATGCTTACTTTTCCCCTCAGACACACAGCAAAATATCTGCTATTTTTAATAAGTTGAAAGTTCACATTGGTACTTCCAGACTAGGTAGCTGAGGAAAACAAACAGGCTTTATCTGACTTTCTCTCTTAAAGAGTAGTTCAAATCCAGCTAGCATCAGCAGCAACCTAAGGATCCCTATTCATGGCTGCTTGGTGATTCGAAAGCCTATGCCCAATCTAAAGCCTTTCAAGTCTCTAAAACCAAAAATACCAAACTCACTGCCACCGAGTCAGATCCGACTCACAGTGACCCCTCTTTGGGTTTCCGAGGCGGTATCACTACAGAAGTAGATTGCCCAACCTTCCTTCTGAGGAGTAGCCGATGGGTTTGAACTCTCCTCTCTCACCTCAGTATCACTGTGGAAGTAGATCGTCCAACCTTCCTTCCAAAGAGTGGCTGGTGGGTTTGAACTGTCAGCCTTCTGGTTAGCAGTCAGATGCCTTAGGCACTACACCACCCAAAGACTGAAGTATATTGATAAGAAATGCCTGGTCACTTTCATATTGTATACTAGCAAGATAAATTTTTTATTAGTAACATAACATCATTTTTTATTCATAATTTAGTTAGAAAAAGGTAAAAATATATTTTATAAATGTGCAGTCTGAAATTTGTAAAACAAGGCTTTTTATATATATTACTGATTTCTCTCTTCTTAAGAAGGAAAAGTGTTGAATACATTTTTATTCTTGATTTTATTTTCCATTATTCATACTTCAATTCCGATCGCAACATTCACTCACTTGGGGAAGCATCACAGCTCAGTAAAGGAGAGTTTTGGCAGTCGACAACCAACCACGTTAGAATTTGCGCTCATTCACTTCTTAGCTTAAGAACCGTAATTTCTCTAAGTCCACTGACTTCTTATGGTTTCCACAAGGAGTAAATGAGATACTTCACACAAAGCACTAGGCTTCCCCTCCCACACCCTCAAGGCAGCTATTAGCATTGTCATCATTCAACAAGTAAGTATTAGGCATATCAATAAATGAACAAAACGACAATTAGAATTGAGGAATTTCTTACTGTACATACCCACTGTGTGCTATCAAATCCAATTCGGCTTCCTTTGGATTTTGATAAACTGGCTCCATTCTAGAGAGATAATAAAACAACATCCTAGTAAATTCAAAGCCCAGCATGTAACATTACACTTAGGATAGGGTAGGAATGAAATTCAAATGATGTAACTATTCATAGTCATTAAAAAGCTTTAGCCAAATACCAATTACCAGAGTCATGAGCTAAAAATTCTACAATTATACAGTATAATGACTTAAAATGGAAAACATGACAAATGGCAGGTTAATTAGGTTATTAAACGTTAAGGCATATACGGCCAACACCTCTAACCAATTACTTTCCATAAATAAATAGCAAACTCTCTGGAATTAGGGTTTATTTAGCACCATATCCCAAGCCTCAATTTATCTCCACACAAGTCAGAGTTTGCAGTCTTGGACCTCTGAAAAGTGGTAACAAAAAGACAGTAATATTTATTGTTGTTAAGTGCCATCAAGTGGGTTCTGACTCGTGAGAACACTGTGGACAACAAAGTGAAACACTGGCAGTACTGTGCCATCTTCAGACTCCTTGCTAAGCTTGAACCCATCACTGCAGCCACTGTCTCAACCCATCTCGTTGAGTCTTCCCCTTACCAATCTTCCTTATTCTTTGCCCAGCTTTCACATGGGCATGAGGTGACTGAAAATACCATGGCTTTGGTCAGGTGCACCTCAGTCTTCAAGGTGACATTTCTGCTTTTTTAACTTTAAAGAGGTCTTTTACAACAGATCTTCCCAATGCGATATGTTGTGTGATTTCTTGGCTGCTGCTTCCATGAGTGTTGGATCCAACTAAAATGAAATCTTTTAACAACTTCAATTTGTTTTCTGTTTATCATGATGTTGCTTATTGGTCCAGTTTTGAGGATTTTTGTTTTCTTTATGAAACGTAATCCACAACGAAGGCTGTAGTCATCAATCTTCATCACTAAGTGCTTCAACTTCTTTTTTGTTTCCAGCAAGTAAGGTTGTGTCATCAGCATAATATAGGTTGTTAATATGTCTTCCTCCAATCCATTGCCATGTTCTTTTTCATACAGTTCAACTTCTCAGATTATTTGCTCAGCACAGAGATTGAGGAAGTATGGTCAAAGGATACAACCTTGATGCACATCTTTCCTGATTTGTCCATTTCATCTAATTTGTTGTCATACAATTGTTCATAATATTCCATTATAATCCTTTTATTTCTGTAAGGTTGGTTGTAATGTCTACTCTTTCATTCTTAATTTTAGTAATTTGAGTCTTTTCTATATTTTTATTGGTAGTCTAACTAAAGTTTTGTTCTTATGTTTTCATAGAAGCAACTTTTGTTTTGTTGATTTTCTCTATTTTTTTTTTTTTGGTTTTATCCTCTATTTCATTTCTTCCCACTCTTATCTTCATTACTTCCTTTCTTCTGCTAGTTTTGGGTTTAGTTTGTGCTCCTTTTTCTAGTTTCTAAAGGTGGAAGGTTAGGTTAATGGTGTGTTGGGCATTCCCTAGATAACCTTTCAGCTTGGTAATCTGCTAGGACTAACAAGAATCAGGAGCTCTGGTAGCATAATGCCTAAGGCGCTTGACTGCTAACCAGAAGG